ATTAAGTCATATATATGGATTTAATTATGATATCAGAATGATCCAGGTATCAAAATGTAGCTTTTAAAGCCAAGAATTTGAAAATGTAATTAGGTCATTTTGACCAAAATAGACTTAATCCTCATTTTGTTATGATGGCTCACAAATATTAAAATGAAGTCTAAATTACACAGGTAGGCAGTGGAAGGAAACCAGAGTGGAAGTGATGTTCCTTTTAAAAACTCCAGTTAGAAGTCGAACAATGGAATCCTGGGCCAACTGGAGACATTTGACAGAGGATTGTCTCTGAGGTAAAAAAAAAAAAAAACCATTGCAGTAACCAAACCGAGATGAGCTAAAGGAATTATTATTTAAATGTGCTGTTGAGGAGAATCTGCATTATCTTTTCTGGCTAAACAAAGGAACAAACAAAAACAAAATAAAACAATAAAAAACAGACTCTGCTCCAATTAGGATGTCAAATTTAAAATCTAAATAAAAAAACATCTGGCTTTGTGTGATGCACCAGGAGGCCAATATCAGCACGAGAAGATTTACAGAGGCCACTGGAACCAAATATAAACACTTCTGTTTTCATGCAATTAAAATACAAGACTTGTAAAGCAAATAAAGAGGAAAAATCAGGGGACCTGAGCTTGTTGCATCCTCCTCACGAAACGAGATGAAACRTAGCAGAAGAGAATTCAGAAGCAGCTACTCTATATTGCTGGACATGGTCCTACCTGTGTGTCTGCCAGATATGATCTAAAGCAGTTTAGTGAGGTACAACAAAAACTTGTGTATTCCTGTGAATGAGATATTAAAATATTGTGGTGCATTAGTTTTAATACCAGACAGGAAATTCTTCAGGATATCTTGTTTGTGCAGAAAAGACTCAAGGCCTCCACATCCTCCACACAAATTTCATAGTTCCTCAGACACATCGTGCCAAGCTCCTGGGAAACCCCTCCTGCTGCAGTATGTGTCACTGCTCGGGGTTCCTTCCTGCTGGAGTCTACACTCCGGGAAAAAGTAAAAATAAAAACTCAGACCAATCGTTTGTTTATACAGTGTGTAAAATAAGTATTGAACACGTCACCATTTTTCTCAGTAAATATATTACTAGAGGTGCTAATGACATGAAAATTTAAAGTTTGCTGCACAACATTTAAACAAGCCTGTGTAATAC